TTAATTTCGAATTTAATAAGGTACACGTATCGTATCAGACAATTATAATATATACGTGCGTTCACATATGCTAGAGTATTATTACATTACATAATATTATTATAATTACTCTACCTGCACGGCTATAAATTGTGCTTAATGTAAATTACTTTCAAGATTTTAAACGCAACAACTGATACTAAACGTTTAGACGTTTATGTAGTTCTGTAGCGACCTATAAAGTTTAAACACACACCCGCGTATCATATAATATATAGTTGTAATATTACCAATGCAGTTGAAATTCAATTATCGAAAAGAAGAAATGATTTACTACCGGTAAAATACAAAAAAAAAAAAAAGGATGAGTTTTATTAATAAATACATCACAATGAGTAATGTTTTTTTTTTTTTTTGGTAAATGAATTATTTTAAATGTAACGTCACATTTAAAATGTCTAATAATAATAATTATTATTATATGATAAAAACGTTATTTAAAAAAGTATCCCGTCAGTGGAACAGATAACACAAACTATGAAGATTTATGTCAAAAATTTCTTGAAACGTTGCCATTTCTATTTTTCAGCATTGAAACAATCTTAACAATACGTCATGTGCGCAGGTCATTCGCCTTGTTGAAATGAATGTGTTAGTTTTTACGTCATGTACCTACTTTACAATGCACTACAATAGGAATTAAATAGACGTTCATCCGGGGTGATCAACTTATCTGAGTCATTCATGCGGGCCTTGTAACTATCAAGTAATATAGTAATTAAAACATATGTATAAATTTAAAAGATTAATAAAAAAAAACCAAAACTAATTATCAATTCAATTATGAGAATAAACACACCAGTATGCATTATGGATATTTTTAAACGACTTAAATGATATTAATAATTATTCTGGTTTCAAAAGGATCAGGCATAGTATACGAATGGTGAATATAGTGTTGTTGTTTTGCATTCTAAGCGACAATACAATTGAAAATTACAAAAAAACAATGTATATATTTATGTCTTATTAAACAATCCTAATAATAGTAGGTATACTATGCTACATAAAAACAAGTAATAACAGGTTATAAACACAATAAATAAAAACTAAAAAAACACATTTTAAATTACATTACCCATACAACAAAAAAGTATGTTTTGAAATAATTTTAATAATAATAATACATTGAAGAATTATTTTATATTTATTTCATAAAAGTGAAATGTGTAAAAATATTTTTCATTTTGACTGAAAATCAAATATTAACATCATATGTTTCAATGTTATTTCCTAAAAAATTAATTTATTGCAAAATTAATTATTATACAAGAGTTATTTAACAAATATTAAATACTATACCGCTGAATAGATTAAATTTAATATACTAAATTTAATATTTTCTATGTTTATACTTTTAAATATTTTCCACTAGACCACAATATAACATTTAGAAAATACTGTTTGTATTAAATATGATGAACATTTTTCTTGAAACTGTTGAACGACATAATTTTTAAAGATTTACATATAAATGAAATTGAATATTTTTTTTTTAAATGGAACATTATTAAAAATATAAATTTAAGTTATGCAAATTGAAATCTTGTTACATTTCGGCATAATTGTGTACTTGTTAAAAACTATTTTCATATCAAGTATTAATTATTTCCAAGTGTAACATATTCCATCCCAAAAATATGATTTTACATTATAAACATTAAAGAATCATATTTGTTTTTTTATTGTTGCTCTACGACATAAAATACACTTATAATGTATTAAGTAAATGTGTTCTATTTTGCGAGTTGTTTTGTAATTATTATTATATATATTACACGGATACATCACTATGTGAATAATTGACCAATCATACTATTATACTTTTATTGAGAATTATATTAATTATTAAAATATTGTTGGTAAGAAATTTCTAAAGATAAAGAAAAATGTACAATCTAGAATAAATCAAAAAGATAAGTGTTCTTTGTGTATAGTTGCTATAGTAATAGCTATTAATACTAATGAGTTTTGAGAACCACTAATGAGAGATTAGATGTGGTTCGTTCGGCGCCATTAGTATTTTAAAACTACTTACTTTAAATAAAAAATAAAACTACTAAACTTAGTAGTATGACGTTTTGAGGTAGAAAACATTTAATGGAAAGTGAATAATGTTGCCTACGATACAATATACCATTATAGATGGCGGTCAACAGACTCTTTTTGATAATTTAGTTTACCCCGTAGCCTGAGCATATAATTATGATAATATATTAAAAATTAAACTAGTGGTGTTGTAAAAAAAAAATGTATTACCATTATAATAATAATGGTAATAGAAATAACACCTGCATTTTCCTTTTTACAGGTCAATTTGAAATCTCTCATAAGACTGACGCCAGACCTTGATGGGTTTTTTACTTAACGTTATCTCCAACAGACCATCTGTAAAACGTTTGTATAAATAATTCAATGGCAAAAAAGAATTAACTTTTATAAAATGTAAGTGCTTATATTGTTTTCTTTTTCTTTTTATACGCAACGGTGTGGTCGTTGTTTAAGAAAAGTTGTGTGTTTATTAAAACCGAAGAATCTAAAAACCTGCAGTACCTACTTGGGTGTATCGCTTAGATTTAATTAAATTCAAAACCCGAGTGAATTCCAGATTGAATTTGAAAAAGAATTATTATTCCTCGGTGCGCGATAACATTCCTGATTAATGAGATGTGGTGTGTATAGATCCATTGTGATTTGTAATCATATTACATTACTGTAACATTGTACATTATTATTTATCATGGAAACTAAAATGATAATGTTCAAGTAGGAATATCGTATATCATTCGTGCTGTTACAGGCGTAATTAATTTCATTAGAAAACAGCACCAATAATACACTTTTTGAATCCAATTCCATTTACGGTCAAACTATTACACGTTGTATTGTTTGTTTGCTATTAGGTCGTTCCATGCCAAATCACTTGATGTGTGTGCGAGTGGATGTTCTAAATACCTCAAAGTTAAATAACCAAATTTTTGGTTTAAGCCCGGAGAAGTTATAGGCTCGTCAACGTAGCACTAAACAACAAAATTTGAAAAAAATAATTTTCTTACAGCTCTTAGTAAAAATAAGTCTCGAGGTCAAAGTTTAAAATAATTTTTATTTTATTTTTATACATCAAAATGTACTTCTTTGATTCATAATTTGTTTTGAACAATTTTTTTCATTATTTATAAGTAACTTCAATGTTTGGAATTTTACTGAAAAGTGCTATATTGAAGAGCCTATAAGAGCCAATGAGACGTGTCAGAATACAACAATTTTTTCCTTAACTTTTTAATAGAACTATTTGCATAGGATAAATGTAAGTTTAAAGCATTTAGAAAATCCACTCGCACACACATCAGGTGATTCGTCGTGGAATGTGACCCATACAAAACAATATTAAGTCTCCTGAACGCTTTTATACGAATCGCGATTATAATTATTATATAGCGTAATAATAATTATTTTTGTAATAATAAATATTACATACGAATCAGCTGAGTCTTCTTTGAGTATTATATAGTTTCCAAAGCCATCCATCAATACAGTATGTTTTCAATGAAACTATTGTTGTAGCTATAGTAATTTGTTAAAAATTGTAAATTATAAAAACTAATATTTTAAAAATATTCATGTAATCGTTTTAATCGGATCATAAGCGGCTGGGTCTTATTTAGTTTTTCATTAAAGGTAATACTTATGAAAAAAGTGGTTTTAATCAATATTGACCATGTCAATTTATTTTCGGGCTAATTTTTTTAAGTTTCAAGGTATTATTTTGAATTTCTACATAGTTTTTTTAAGAGTAAAAGTCATTTTGGCAGTAGAAAAATGCTTTCACTATGATCAAATTGTAAGACTTTGGCTGGTTCTCTTTCAGTTCTGTTAAAATATAATAATTATATTATATTATTATTGTTGGTCTCTTTACTGCGGGTTATGTTGGAAACAGATTTTCATTTAAGGGGAACAAAAGCCGCCAAATTGTATACAAATAATGACTAAAACGTGAAGTCAATTTCTAAAGTCTACCTAGCCGTTAAAAGAAAAATGATTATAAAGTTTAACATCTCCTTTATAAGGGCTAAAAGGTTTTTCAGTATTAAATGCATATTTTATTTTACGTACAAAAAGTAAAAAATCCGTCATAAACTAAGTAGATTAGTTAAAGAGTTCGTATATATTTACAGAATAGCAATCGAGCCAGGCTTTTTGGTGTAAAACGTCCAAAAAAAAATAGGACGTTTTCAATTGCCTTTAATAACATTTTGAAAATATCATTATATTTGTTTTTTGCTGCGTGTACCTAGTGATGTGGGAAGCGAAAATCCGGATTTTCACAAAAAAAAAAAATGCTTTTTAAGCCACTTCAAAATCGTTTAAGTATTAAATATTATTACAACGTAAAGCTGCGTGTTTAAGTAAAATATTTTTGACGAAATGTAAAATTAAAACAAAACACCTAGAGCAATTTATCGTTAAAGTTAAGGTTTTTTTATCAAAACATTTTACTTGGGTACGCGGCTTTATATTGTAATAGTGTTTTTAACATTATACCAATTTTAAGTGGCTTACGTAGCCTTTTTTTTTTTAAATCAATATTTTTGGGATCAGCGCCAGTGCCGGGCCGGGCGCCGACTTGGCAGGTGTTTATTGTGAAAAATTTCAAAATTACAATTTCACTCTCGGGCGAAACAATTGTTAATGTATGTATTTTTTTCAACGGCATCATTGCCCGAAATCATTGACACTATAACTCGTTGCTCGAAGGAACACTGCTACCGAGTCGAGGGGGACTTGGCCGCGCGCGTGTGTGTGTGTGTGTCTAGCTTGTTCCCTCCCCCTTTTGCTCTGAACGTTACGGCTATTGTGGGTGGATTGTGTGCGCGCGCGCGACAAGCGGCCGCCAGGTTTGCCGTACAGGTGTCGCTTCGGTCGACTTCGGGTCTCGCCGCCGCCGCTCCGGTCCGGTCGCATGTGAGATTCATGTGGTTCGCCCGCACTATTAACCACACGGTACCGAGTTCGACGCGCTCCTCTCGCCGGATGTGCTATTTATTAATTTGATTTACACGGACTAATTATCTATCGTTGTTTTAAATATATAATCGTTCTACGCCAACACGCCGTGTGTATCGAGATTTGTCGTGTGGTACGCGGGCAAACGGATTTTGAGAAAAAAAAAAAAAAAAATTTTAATTATCGTTTTCCAATCACTGTCATCGACAATAATAGTGATTTTTATCGTTTCGTATTTTAGTAATTATAATTTTACATTTCGTCGGTCGAGAGTTCGTCGTTGTTTTACCGTTTCGTTGTTTTATTTTTGATTTTTGTATTTTTTTGTGAATTTAACGTTTACCGGATTTTTTTATTTAAATTTATTTTCACACTAAAAAAACTGTCCGGTGTCGATTTTTTTTTTCGCATACATTCTGTGTCTTACGTTTTTCACTGGATGAGTGAACCGGTGCATTTGTGAGAATATATAATTAAACGTTTTTTTTTCTGATTTCCTTAAAATAACATATATTATCATTATTATTACTGATTTAAGTCCGGTTTTTTATATGTTTTTTAACTCCTGCCCGCGTAAAGTCCTAGGAACGTGCCTAGGACCTCGCTTTGATTGCTAGTGCAAAACATGGAAGCTACTTATTGCATTGGAAACGACGTTGACGTATGCCGAATGTTCGACCAATATTTATATAAGGTACGTCGACCATATAGTTATTATTATCAATATATTTCCTGTAGGCAAATGCAGCCTAGGTATTAATAATTATACAGCTGTCTCGGAGATGAAAACCATCTCCATTTTTTTTTTTTTGTACATCGTTATGACGGATGACGACTGAAAAGTTATTAAAACTCAAAGTAATAAATAAACGATTAGATTATCTATTTGGGATTTGAAATGAAAAAAAAAAATTGTAATTATTCAACGTCTGCACCGGGACCGGGTGGGAACTAAAAGGATGTAAATTACTCGTCAGAACCGGTTTTTACTCTAATGATTAATACGGTACGGTGAAATTAAACACAAAAAGGTTCATTATAAAAATTGATTTCCGATACCTACCAGTAGGTATGTACCCCTAAGACAGCAAACAACGCGTTTAAATTTTGGTTGGATAGTTTTTTTGTAAAAAAAAAAAAAAATAATAAATAAAACAAAGCGTGTACAGTGCTCAGTAACAACGATTAATGAATTAACCACTGTACGCCTGAGCAGGGTCAACCAACCGTGACCTTGGTTGGCCTTGAACCCGACCAGCATCTTCAGACGCTCGCTAGCATTTTAGGCATTCCGTAATATTATATTTTGTAAAAAATTCTATTTAAAAGTCGGCAACGACCATTTACACCGTTATTGTTGTTTTCAGTCCGGTCGAAATCTTACAAAAAAAATTATTATAGTATATTCAATTGTTTTGAGTTTCTCCAACAAATCTGGGCTACATTACCGTATTTTTATATTAGATTTAGCGTCGTGTATAATGTGTCGGCCGTCGAGTAACGTTTCATGAGCGCAATGGCAATACCGACGATGATGCAGTTAAAATTGTATTAACATTATTACTTAAACGGGCGACGAACACCGGTAATTGGCCGGGCAAACACCGTCAATCTATTTCGGCCGAGAAGAAGGGAATCCGATGCCCTTTTAGGGGAGGTGCGCGGACGTGAACGGCGTGGAAAAATTTCCTATCCGCGTCTCGGTGCAATAGAAGAAATTCTTTTGCCCGTTTTTTCCACGGCGAGACGGCCACTGAAAACCGGCTCCATTAACTCTGTACGTACACAAAACATATTATACACACACACACACACTGGCGATGAACACATGTTGTAAACAATTATTCGATTTCTTCTCCACTCCGACTTTGGCAGACGAACACGACCAACTAGCGCACACACACACAATATCACTTAAAGGAAAAAATACTATACGCGTAGAATTACTTACAAAATATCATATAAAATCTAGTCTGTTGTATAATATTCTAAAAAAAAAAAAAAAAAAAAAAATGGATATGATTACATTTACATCTTACCTCCTCGTCCTTTTTCACTCTATCGTTATTTTCTATTGTATGCTAATACACTATCGTTGTTATATATTGTACATAAAATATAAATACCAGCATAGTACATTTTTATTATATATTAGATTGTGTAGAATTTATATTACGGCTACACGATAAGAGATTTAAAAAATAAAGATCCAGAACTATTTGTTAAATCGCTATTGTACTTTATTGCTCGGGGACTTATTGAAAAATAAAATGTAAAAAATGTCAAGTGTAAGCACACGTCATGACCTCTTTTTTTATTTTTTATTTTAATGCATATTTTTTATTGCTCCCGGGCCGAGTGTTTTCTGATTTAATGGTAATAAATGGTGTTCCATCCATGAATACTAATTGGTTCATTACATCTACCGATTTCAATTCATTTTATTTATCTCGTGACATTTTAGATATTCGTAACTAATAAATCGAACCGTTACGTTATTCCTTTTTTTCCTTTTATCCGCCCTCGCCCGGACTTTATCATAATACAATACATAATATATTGCCCGATGACGGTTACGATAACGGCGACAATGCGCTTTTTTAATAATAAAAAAGTAATCGAAATCTACATCACTCCGTCGTGTGTGTGTGTGTGTGCGCTGATCGGCTTAAATATAATCGTTACTGTACAATTACAATTACAAACAAAAATGATTACAATGTTTTTTTTTTATGAGTTCGGCTTTGCCACAGTCACTCGAATAAAATGTGAAAATAAAAAAAAAGTAAACAGTTTGTCAATGTTGATGTTCAAATAAGTAAAACGATTGCCGGTAAGAGGGTATGTATTGGGGTACAATAATAATTATCACCTGTAATTTGTGGACAAACTATGTTAAAGCGTAATTGATTAGAAACGATTCCGTCTCGGCGACAATTTAAATAACAACGTAAATTTATAATAATGATACTCTGTTTTAACATTGGGTTTTGAAACCCCAAAAATCGATTCCGTTGTGGGACGACAGACAGTCAGTTGTCTTTTTCACTCAATCGGAACTCGATGGACGGTGTAACTGAGACGGCAAACGTTTAATTCAATAAAAAAACATAGAAAGAAAATTTGCAATGAAATAATTGTAATAATGTCAAACGAGTGAGTTCGGTGGCGGCCGTTTGTCTCGTCTCCGAGCTTTAATTACGGTTAGTTTCTCAGCTATTGTTGTATTTTTAATTGTTAAAAAATGTGGATGAAAGAATTATTATAATGAAATGCATCATCGAACACAAATTACGATCGTGTCCGACACCGCTGACCTCTTTGCCTGGTTATCGCGTTTATAGATTTTTAAAACTCATCGATTGACCTCAAACCCATTCCCATCAATAATATGGTGGTTACTCAGATTATTGACTGAAATTCTATTCGATTTAATTCAATAAAATTTAATTCTGTACTGATACGGAACAAGGTTAGGTCATTTTATAATGATAAAACACTCGTTAATGATGCGTCCCGTTCTAGTTTTTCTTACCCGCCATTAGGTCCACTGCGTTTCTCGTGTACATTTTATTAAATAAATCTTTTCCAATAACCATGTGTGTACGTGTATTCGGGGGTGGGTTTATCGCTAATGCCCACAATGATGTTGTCTAGATAACAATGTAGGGTCCGGTTTTGGGTCAAACGCAAAGACATCACGGTTGTCGGTAGGTAGCTACGTCAATTTCCATTAAGACAACAAATTGACTTACTCTAATATTTCATTCTCGGTACCTACTCATGAATAATAAACTTGCGTTTTGCCGAAGATCGGCCGGCTGAAAAACGATTAGCTTTAGTTGGACAGATTACGCCTTAGTGTCATCGTAGTTATTAAAAAAACCATTAATCGGAATAATTGCAAAAATAATAACTGTATACTTATTCTGGTAAATGAAACGATAGAAAATATAATTGTAAAAAAAAAAAAAAATTAGCAGCCTATTAACGTTAATCAGAAACGTTTTCCTTCGAGGATGTCTCCGGACATGTACATTGATTCAACTCCTCGGTGTTAAATTTATTTTTGCCCGAATGAGTAGCAACAATACCGCTGTCGATCGAAGTCTCCAAGTTTTCCGCCATCGACACGCCGAGATTCTTTTTGACCATGACCTCGATCAATTGGTTGTCCGGGATCTTTAGACGTTTTGGAGTTTCGCACTTAGACAGTAGCGGCGGATTCGAATTATTCGTCAAACCCAGTTGTTCGATCGCCATCACCGTTTGGCGGACCGGACTAGCCGTATGCTCTGCCTCTGCCATCGGAGTGAACCGTTGTAGGGTTGGCAAATCGTACACTCGAGCCTTTACTAACAACACGGGTTCGGTGTAGTCTACTAGAGAGAAAAAAAAATATCAAAACTAATCACACGAAGATCTTGGAAGTTGCAACGTTTTATTAATCTCTAATGAGGGGACGTGGTTTAGTTTTTATGCAATCGTGTGGCCATATGTGCATGCACGAAGAGTAAAATCCTAACGACAACAGGGTTAAATAAACAATTATTTATTGATCATTAAACCACAATTACTGTTGCGCACTAATATTACACGTTTATGCAAGGGTTAAGTTTAGAACGGTATTTATATACTATTATTACTTGATCTGCCGAACGACCGAATCATTTCCGGTGGGTAACAAGCCAAGCTGGACGACCCGATGGAAGTGTTAAACATGTTATCGAACTAAGGTTGCCTCGACGTCCGATTTGGCTGCAAATATGTATATGAAACAAAATAATATCATGGACTACGAAGAAAAAATATGTTTTAGTAGGGCTTGTCAGATCAACTGTGGGTCGTTGCCCGGCGACACGGATGCTGTTTTCCACAAAGGTCAACAGCTGATGACAACACTGTCCAGGGTGTCAAGGACGTCAAACGAGTAACTGCCCCGAAAAAACATTGCACTGTTTACGCTGTACAACGACACAAACGTTACAAAAATACATTATTGTTCTATTCGATTTGTCCGTCATAAATACTATTATTAATCGGTACGTTATGATGTAGTTTTAAACTTTTTGACAGCATTTTAAAACATAATATTATATATTAGCCGTTTGGGATGTACCATGCTATTTTATGTATTGCTTGGAACTGGAATGCATGCGAGTGTTTGTTCTCGGTAAAATATATTATATTATTTAAAATCGGATTTCGATATTTAGTAAATTCTTACCCGCCCTCGGCCGAATAAGGGGTACATAATATGAACTCGTTGGGTAACCTTTTTATGTGAATTATAATATTTATATGTGAATGTTACCTTAACGTTTTGTTATAATATAATATACTACATGCGATTAGTAGAAAATTACCATACGTGTTCATAGCGAGTAAACAATTTGAAATTCAATTATATTCAAAAATAATTTCTCGTAGCTATTGTATATTCTCATTTTTCTCAACTGTTTGGGGTCGGTCACCCTAATCCTGAGTTTCCACCCATAACGTTCTCACACAAACATCTGCCTTTCTGGTATAAATTACTTATTACTCTTTCATTTAAATTCATCTGCATCTATTCATATTATTGGAATCAGTTTTTGTTGTAAGTATATTATAATATTTGTTTGATAATTTGAAAATTATTCATGTAAAATATTTTAAAAAATATGATATTGGAGTATCTATATTGTTTATAAA